AATATTCCACTGGGGTTCTGGTATATATTAGGAAGACATTTTCAATCATCCTATATCAACTGACCTCCAATATTTATCTTGTTTTATATTGTTGGTCTTACATAATAACATCCTTGATAAATTTTCAGGCCTTGAGGTGCTATTTTTTGAATTAGGAATACAGCCTACTAAATTAATAAATTATTACTGTGGAGGCACTCTTGTCTTCTGAATGTATAAGTGCATTGCTTAAATTACTCTCAGGGAATAATTTACACATGAAGAGACTCTGGTGGTTAAAAAAGCTTTGTGTATTTCTTATCACTGGAAATAGACCTAGACTAGGTGCTTAAATGGATATCAGAGCAATTGTTTTTTCAAAGCCGTAGTGATTCATACTATTCTGGGGTTCCCAATATACTATTCTAGAATCATGAATTAAATATAATGTTAAAAATGTAACATTTTGAACCAAAAATTTCCATAAGAAACAGGGATACTGTCTCCACTGAGAAAATACGCTCATGATCTTGAAAAGGCTTAGCAAGCTTTCTTTCATTGTGAATCTTGTCTTCAAAGAGCTGCAATAAGGTGAACATAGAAAATAAGATCAAGGAAAAGGAAATTAGGACTTGGCTGCTGTTGCAAAAAGATATCACTGCCCCTCCCACCTTATTTAAGTATTAACGGGTGGAATTGAGGGCAATGCCTCCGGGCTTCTAATCTTGTGCTATTATTTTTCTTGTCCTTTGGAAGTTCATGTCCAAGTTATATGCTGCTTGCTTATGGGTGACACATATCTCTATCCCAGATTTAAGTATTAAGAAATTAAAAAAAAAGGGTTTTGGTGAAACTTCTCCCCTGGGTTATAAACTCAGTTACTATAGGAAGCCTGTCTTTCTTACATTTTTACAGCCTAACTCTGCGCCTGGCACATGGCATGAGAAAAATATGGTTTTGGCAAATGAACACACAAAGTACACAGAAAAAGTGCACTGTTATAAGAAAATCCTTAATTATTCTGAATCTAATATTTATCAGATATCTGGTTAGTGTCTGTCGCATTTATATGTTTTTCCCCCCCATGGATCTTCTTCCTTTTGCCCCCAAATCTGTATAGCAAAGGATGAACAATGGTTACTTTTTATTGATTTGATTATTTGAGCTTATGCATAAATAATCTATTTCAAGAAATAAATAGATAAAATCCTATTAAGAAGCAACAACTGGGGACGCCTGGGTGGCTCAGTCGGTTAAGCGTCTGACTTCGGCTCCGGTCATGATCTCACGGTTCGGGGGTTTGAGCCCCACATCGGGTTCTGTGGTGACAGCTCAGAGCCTGGAGCCTGTTTCAGATTCTGTGTCTCCCTCTCTCTCTGCTCCTCCCCCACTCATGCTCTGTCTCTGTCTCAAAAAATTAAAAAAATTAAAAAAAAAAAAGCAACAACTGTTCCTAAACTCTCTAATTAATTTTTAAAGGACCTCTTCGGGTGCCTGAGTGGCTGTCCGTTAAGCAGCTGAGTTTGGCTGAGATCCTGAGATCATGATCTTGTGGTTCACAGGTTCGAGACCCATGTTGGGCTCTGTGCTGACAGCTCAAAGCCTGGAGCTTGCTTTTGGATTCCGTGTCTCCCTCTCTCTCTGCCCCTCACCCACTCATACTGTGTATGTCTCTGTCTCTCAAAAATAAACATTAACAAAAAAAATTTTAAAGGACCTCTTTATATTGTGCCAGAAACATCCAAACTGGCCTCAACCTCCTCACTCAACAAAGCTATTATAAATAAAAGTGCTGGAGCCAAAATGATGGTTCAAAGGTTGTGGTGATGGTGGTGGTAATGATCAGGAATTAAAAGCTATCCCAGACACTGTCTTTTTTAATTTTTCATCAAGCATTTTATTTGAATATTTGTTTTGAGAGAGAGAAAGAGAGAGCTCAGAGTGCAAGCAGGGGAGGGACAGAGAGAGAGAGGGAGAAAGAGAATCCCAAGTAGGCTCCATACTGTCAGCACAGAGCCCCACTTGGGGCTGGATCCCACCACTGGTAAGATCACGACCTGAGCAGAAATCAAGAGTCTAAAGCTCACTTGACTGAGCCACCCAGGTGCCCCTCAAGCATATTTGAAATGAAGATGTCAATTGCTTTTCTTTTCTGCTCCTCAAAATTAACCCCACAATGTTTCATGTTGTACTATGTATTACAGTATGAATTTTGATAAGATAGCTGCTATTTGGATAAGTAGATGGTTTTATCCTAAGCATTTCCATGAAAAAAATTTTGAGGGGAATATTTAGTACTGAAGATGTTTGTCTTAAAATTTATTTGCAAAATATTTTCTATAATTGCACTGTCAAGTATTCAAAAGGCTTCTCACATTTGTACCTCATGCAAGTACAAAGGTCTCCAGATATGCTAGACAAGATTAATCTGATGTTATTTCTGTTTTGATTGATTTTAACTGATATCCAGCTTGTTAGAACAGCTTTTAACAGTACATTGAAAGACTGGCATAAATTCCTTTGGCCAAAAGTTGAATCTAGAGTGCTCGGGGTTGGGTTTTCGTTTCTTTCTTTTTCTCCTCCTCCTGGTCTTTTTGTTGTAAAGAGGTCACGTAAGGACGTTGGTGGAAGGGCTCCATGCGCCATCTACTGACCAAATCTATATTTTCAGTGTCTAGAGAATGAAACTTTCCCTACATTCGGTCTTTGGGAAAGGAGGGATAATGGGAAAAGACATTCTTGACTCTATGGCTTATTGGTGACTCCTGGAATACATCTTAAGTCAACAAGCACATAATTCAAGAAAGAGAGATCAGCCCCTCAGCGCGAAGACAAGTTACAGAGAGAATCACAAGAAAGTCCGCTGGCACCGGAAGTAATTAGCCAACCTCTAAGTCCAACTTCAACTTACAATTGGATCGTTGTTTTTCACCTGTGTGTTGAGCTACACTCACTGCTTAATGGTTGCTGCCTCACACGAAATGGCTTTTTACTAATGGCACATCCAAATAAACATCAGTTACCAGTCTGATAATTCTGAAGGATTTCTAATTTAATTATCTCATCAAAAATTTAATAATGCATAGCAAGTAGTTCCACCCTTCACCTAAATCCTAACACACAGCTGTCTCTGTCTAGGTAAACTTAATCCTGACACACATACACAACACACTCCTACACATACACAAGATGATATGCATCTATGTACATGTGGGTCTGTTGAGAAATCTAAGCCCTTGGATTCGGATTAAAATGTTTCCCCCCTCAGTCGTTCTCTCCACTCTATGCTAAATCCAAAAGAAGGGTGGCAGGAATTGGGGATCTCAAGCCAAAGTTTCCTAGGGGTGAAACTGGGGAGAGATCAGAGCATCAGTTTTAGTAGTTCAACCCACTGAAGTTGGAAGTTTGGATTGGAAATTAAGTTTGGCCCAAAGCGCTCCGATCTGATTCGGGTTCTCTTCCTGTCAGAAGGTGAGAGGACTGAAAACTAGCAACCAGGACTCCAGATGCCCCAGGTAACTTCCTTCCCTATTCCTTCTCTTTATTTCAAGATCTGAGACAACTTGCTTTCGTGGTTTAAAGAAAGAAAAGAAGAAAAAAGCCAGAACGTTGAGCCAGAAAGAGGAGAAGAGCCACATAAAGAGGAAAGGCAGGGAGAAGAGAAAAGAAAGATTCAGAAAGAGGTTGGGAGATCAGGGAACTTGGGGGAGGAAAGAAAGAAGACGAAGACAGCAAAAAAGGAATGAGGGCTAGGAAGATCTTCAACGAACCGGAGTTACACCCATCTTTCACTTTCAAGTCAATCCGCTAGATCTTATCCGTTTCCTTTGTGAAGGTCGTCCGCACTGTTGAAGGAAGCTAGTCAGTCCCCCCACCCCCCGCCTCCTCCGCCCCACGCGTGGCTGCGCCGCTGTATCCCCGGCCACGGAGACCCAATCCATCCCGAGTGGGGACGTTTGCAGGAGCGCGACTCTGGGAACACTCTTGCGCCTGGTTGTCACCCGGTAGCCTAACCGGATTAATACCCAGAGTTGGATTACGCAGGCTGTCACCAATACGCCTAAAGATTATAATCCAATTTATGCACATTACAGCCAGTATTAACTTTATCTGCTATTTTAAGACTCCCAGTTGCCCCGCGTGTCGGAGGACAATCCTCCACGTTCTGATGCAACCCACCAGGTTGTCCGGAGGGGAAACCTCCCGAAGAAAACAACTGCAAGCCTGGTTCCCTGAGGGTCTGCACCCGGTACGCCCAGGTGTCTTACCTTCACCTGGGCACCGCTGTGCGACGCCTCCCTGCCGGGGATTGCCGAAGCGGGAGGAGTTCCCTTGGAAGGAAATAGTATTTTTGTTCATTTCATTTTTGAATTTTCGGTGGCGGTGGCAGAAGGGCGGGGAGTGGGAGTGGTGGACGGGAGCCTGTGAGTGTGGATGGGGAAGGGGCCAGGGGATTGTGGCCGGTTATAACAGTCTCAGCGACTGCTTTTTGATGTTTGTTTGTAGAGAGGCACTTCTCTCTCTCTTTCCTTAAATAAATTTGTTTGGGCGTGAGTTCTTGACTCCTCAGCACAAAACCACAAAAAGACGGGGTGGGAAGTAAAAGAAAGCCCCCTTCCCTCCCCCGAGCGTGCTAACGCCGAAGACTTGATTTAACACCCCTTCTCCGGCTGCTGGGGGCTCTAGGCAGTGGCTACATTCCAGCAGTTTTAATCCGTTTTTTATTGTAGGGCGGGAGGAGTTTACACAGGGGCTGGGATGGCTCCCCAGCTGGCCGCTCTCCCCACTCTAGCGCCCCCTCCCCGCCCTTTGCTCCACCTCCCTCCCCCACCGTCCCCAGTAGGAACCTGTTACTTTAAGCCGGGCGTTCCAGTGTGGCGGTGCGGGCCGCCGGGTTTCGGGAGGTGGCCGGTGATTGGCTCTTTCGAGCTCCCCCTGGCTTGCTCGCTCGGCCTCCCCGCGCGCTCCGCCCCGCCCTCGCGCCCTCCCTCCGCCCCGTGAGGCTCGGAGCCCCGGTGTAAGGCGCCACGGCGCATGCTCCGGAATCTCATCCTCTGGCCCTGGAGCTGCTGCTGCTGCTGCTGCTGCTTTTGCTTTTGGGGCTGAGTTTAATAAGCGAGCGAGCGGGCAAGCGAACGCGGGGGGAAAAAGGCAGAGAATGTCCGCCATCTACCCTCCGCTCCTGGGCGCGCTCTCATTCATAGCAGCCTCTTCATGAATTACAGCTGAGGGGGGCGGGGGAGGGGGGGTACCACACAACACCCCAGCAAACCTCCGGGCCCCCAGGCATGGCTAGCTCGGTAAGTACATGCAAAAATAATAATAAAAGACCCCCCCTCCCCGCCTTTCCTCCCTCGCCCTGCGCCGCCGCCGCCGCCGCAGCCCAGACAGCGCCAGCGCTCCGCGGTTCCAATTAGAGAAAGGTTGGTACGGCTTGCAGGGAGCTGCCGCCTCTCCCTCAGCCTCCGCTCCCCTCCCTCCCTCCACTCCCCCCCCCCCGGCGCGCGCACACACACACACATACACACACACTCCACACACTAACACACTCGCCCTCCACCCCCCCCGCGCCTCCCTCTCTCCTCGCCTCTCTTTGCAATCGCAAGAAGCGCACTCGCTCACGCGCGCACTCACACACACACACACACACACATACACACACTCACACGGTGGAAGGAGGCGAATAATAACTCAGCCATATTTCAGCCGCCGCCGCCGCCGGGAGCCGCGGGCACAGTCCGGGGACGCGGCGAGCAGCCTCGGCGGCCGCTACGATGGTGCGTTCTCCGCGGCGCGCGCGTGTGAGCCGGAGTGTGCGGGCTGACAGCGGCGGGGCCGCACGCAACTTTGCCCCCGCGCCGGGCTGTGCGCAGTCGAGCCTCGGCGGCTGTCCGCCCGCCGCCCTGCCTTTCTGAATTTTATTTTCTGGGGGGAGGCGGGAGCTACTTTGGGGCCACTTTGGCTCTTGGAAGTGTGTTGCGGGGGCTCTGTTAGGCTGGTCTCGCCGATCGCGTGGGGCTTTTCGCTGGGGGGTGCGGGGTGCCTTAAGTTATGGATGCCTCGGCGTGTTTTCCCGCGGGCGTGTGTGTGTGTGAGTGACGACGTCTCATTTTTGTTGTGCACGAACCCAACGGCAAGAGCACGGGAGTTTGTGCCCATCAGCAGAGGCTGCATGTAGTTTCCATTCCGCCTGGCACAGCGCTCCACACGCACGCACACACACACGTACACAAAGACTTCCTCGGCGTGTGCCTGTCGCCGCGGCACTTTCAGGGAGGGGGCTCGCCAGACCTCCCCCCCCCCCCATTCGGCGTCCCGGCTACCTCCCTTCCCACGCCGAGAAACCGCCCAGGCATCACCTCCTAATTGTCTTCTAATTTGTTTCCAATGCATTTGTTGTGCTCGTAGTGGCTCGAGTGTGCTCTCCCTCTTTCCCCCCGACCCCCGGACTCCCTTCCCGACTGGGGGTAACATTCCGTTACAATCCCTGTCGGCACGGATGCGGGGCGCCGGGCGGGCGGGGTGGGGTGTATTGGGGGGTGTGGGGTGTGCGCGCCCACGCGCGTGAAACGTGGACGCAGAGGGCACCGCCGTTTCCTTTTATGTGCGTTTCAAGAAGGAGGAAAAAAAATGTCAGGCGCAATGTTCGGTGCCGAACGGTCGCCTTCCTGTTGTTCACGGCTGTCTCTCCTCCCCCTGCCCGCAGTGTGCCGTGCAGGTGAAGCTGGAGCTGGGGCACCGCGCCCAGGTGAGGAAAAAACCCACCGTGGAGGGCTTCACCCACGACTGGATGGTGTTCGTGCGCGGCCCGGAGCACAGTAACATACAGCACTTTGTGGAGAAAGTCGTCTTCCACTTGCACGAAAGCTTTCCTAGGCCAAAAAGAGGTAGGGCTCGAATACAAAAGGAGCTCGATCAAAAAATGTCCTTGCTCGCGGAAGAAACAATCGCTTGGCCCGGGCGGTCCCCCTGCCCCTCTCCCCGCCCCCCCCCCTCCCGCGTCGCGCTCGCCGGCGTCGCCTCGGGACCTGGGTGCGCGGCGCCGCGCTGGCCAGGTCTGGGCTCCCGCCCGCGCGCGCGCCACTTCGGCTTCGGGAAAGTCACCGCAGAGAAAGGACCGTCAGGTGTCGAGTGTTTATTCATCCCAAGCCAGCCCTCACCGGTCCTCTGGGGTTAGCCGCGGGTTCGGTGGGGAAGGTGCAATTAGTTGTTGGGTTTGGAGGTGTCGGGGGGCGGGGCTGGAGGGAATAGACAAGCTTGCGCCTTTTTTTTTCCTGGAGACTTTGAAATTTACCTGTGTTATTAGCAGGGAATGCGTGGCAGGTAGTTATTCTTCCGTTTTGGGAAGTCGCCTCTCTTCAGGGTCTTCTTTGCCTTCCTCCCTGCGAATTAGGCAGTGGGTGCGGGTTGTCACTGATTTTTCCTTTCGTGGGGTAGCCACCCCCACCCGGCACAGTCAGCATTTTATGTTCAGCTGAGGGGGGGGGTGTTACTCGTTCCTAGCCCCTAGTGGCACTTAATTGCACACTGAATTTTTTGAGCAGCGGTTTGGAGTCTGCTCGATGTGATCTGCGGGGAGGAGGGTCCCTGCAAAGGTCGAAGCTAAGTTTCCGAGGAACCATGTCTGCCTTGCTTTCTTCCTCACTTCCCTACCCTGGTTTTTAGCCTTGGTTTCTAGTTTGCATATCCTGCTCAGCCTCTCAGGTCCCAAAACACTCTCCGTAAAGAGCAGGACGGTTTTAAAAAAAGAAAGAAAAAGAAAAAAAACCCCCACGGGATGTTATTTTGAAAGAAAATTTAAAGAAGGCTTGAGAAACCTGATTTTTATTCCCTTCAGCCTCCGGAAAGCTACTGCCTGGTTGTTTTAGTTGGATTAGTGGAGGTAACAGTACAAATACAATAAGGTGCTTTGTTTGTAAGCAGGTTTATTTATCTAACTCGACACAATGGTTAGTAGTTATCTTCCATTTGATCCGTAATCTTTATTGGCATCTAGAACTCCTGCAGTTTCTTAGAGTAACATCATAATAAATCCATTCTGCTTAGAGCTACTGGAAATTATTGAACATTGAGGAGCTGAATAAAGAAAGGAGAAATGCTATGTGCCTCAGAGGTGGTGGAGGTTTGTGTTGATGCTTATATTTTGTTTCCTGAGCTCCTGTGATGGGTTGTAGGATTGTATGCTTTGCCTTTAGTGGTTTGTTTCACAGCTCCTCTTGAAAACTTGACCAGCTGAATTTGATGGGCTTTGCTGGATGGTTAACAAATGAATCCAGCTTCTAATAGAAGCTGGGCATGGCCTAGAGGAAATAACATTTAGATTTTGTTAGCATCTTAGATCAAAATATAGCCTGAGATAATTTTACTTCATCCTTCCTCAACACTGTAATTAGGAGGAGTATTGTCAAGTTTCTGTCACTGGTCGAGGTTCGGTGTGATGCTTCTTGGAATCTTGCTCTCCCCTTTCCATGTATCTGTAGAGCCACTGCAGAGGAGTTTAAACAAAAGAAACCACCTTCTAAGATCCCTGGTATCCACTATTAGGACTCCTTTGCTGCCACGCAGTTCGAGATGAAATACACTTAACAAGAAAAGCAATATTTATTACTCTAGAAAAACTAAGTCTGTTGGCAGAAGATGTAGCTCTTAAGATAACTTTGTTTAGGCTTCTTGACAGTCAACAAATTGGCATTGTGAAATTAAAGATGACCGACCTCCCCATATTTCACCACGGTTTCTGGGCTTCAGTGTGTGTGTGTGTGTGTGTGTGTGTGTGTGTGTGTGTCCCTTTATTTTCCATACTTAATGATTTTCCCAGCCTGAGGGAGCAGGAGGGTGCTGGCCCCACACAGCCCACACCTGGGAGCTGTTGCTAGGTGTGGTAAGCGGCTCAATAACCCTGAAGTCTCCATCTCTAGTGAGAGATGCCTGCTCACAGGTTGGGCTCTTCAGTTTTTTATTTGCGACTGCGGAGTTTCTTTATGTAGTCTATAAGCCATTGTTTTCAAATGTTTATTTTTGGATTTTTATTTGTATGTGTGCTTCCCATGATGTGACAAGTCCCGGGAAAAATGCCAGCTTACATAGCCCAGGAGAGACCTTGTCATACTGTAATTACACATGATTCAGATTGCAAGAGAAGGTTTCTCTGTTCTTTGGGAATACTTAGTTGTAAATTCAAGTAACACCAAACATACCACTTGATCCTGGGACTTATTTTTTGGCTTATAACGCCTTCCAAAATAATAAGAATAAATAAATACAGAACAAGAATCCCAGCCGTTGCTAAGTCTGCTTCGGTACCTTTTAAGGTGCTATATTTGTCATCTTATAGGTCTGTAAGTGAGAAATTGGAAATGGGAGAAACTGTGAAAATGGCTTTGTGAAAAATCTGAGTTACAGGATATTTAAAAGAAATGCACATACTCCAATCTGTAAATGGCTATTAATAATGGCAAGTTAAATCACTTTCAGTAAACAGAAGTGGACCTTAGCACTGGGGATGAACTGCTCAGCCACAAAGATGGAGGAGTTCTTAGTTTTGTAAATCTTTGGTTTGGAAAAGCAAATTGATTTTCAGGTTGGTTTCCTTTATTTCACAATAATATTATGAGAACTTGTAGAGGAAGAAATTAGAGCATTTCAACTTGTTGCCTAATGAGAATTACATGTACCATTTCGGAATTGAGCTAATTGTACTTGAATTCTTGAGAGTTTACTCTGTCCCAGAGATGGGTTGGAGACGTGCAATTTACAGTTCCTAGCACTGAGTCCTAGAAGAGAGATTTTGATGAAATGGTGAAGGCTGGAATATCCATTAGCTGTTACAGAACAGGCAGGTCAGAGTATAATGCATTTTAAAACTATCCACTTGTAAAAAAAAAAAAAGACCATATTTTATTTATTAGTACCAAAGATTTGTAATAGTCTGATATGACTGAAATGAATAGTCACATTCAAAACATTTCATTTAAAATATTAATGTTTTCATTTTCAGTATGATGGGAATTTGAGTGAACTTTCTTTCCAATTACACCATTCTTACTATTGCAGTCTGTTCCATTGACATTTATGATATGAAATCTGTTGCTTATTATTTTATGTAAGCTAATTTGGCCACCGGTATGATTTGATGGCTTTTTATTTGTAGCCCTAGTCCTTTGAGTAGGCAGATAAAGCATAATAAATCCCACTTACAACTTTCCTTTGATTCAAATGTTTGAGCCCAGCATTACTGTGTAGTTCTGATTTGTGTTAAATAGTCTTCTGAAAGAATTTGGGTAAGTTTTTTTATTAGGGTACCTGAAATCTGGGTCCAGACTAGTTGAAGATACTGCATGCACCTGGTGTGTATTCTCCTCTTAGGTACTTAAAAGGTTTAAAAAAAAAAAAAAAAAAAAAACCCAAAAAACAAAAACAGCTGGATGACTCTACTGATCTATTCAGTGCGTGTTAGAAGACTTGTGTAGAGTTCTGTATGGAATTAAGGTGACCAGTGAGAGCAGTTCTCCCACTTGGCATTTTGAAGCAACATAAAGCATAATTTTCCAAGGCAGTTAAAAGCTGAATTATTGGAGGCAATCTCCTAGACTGTTAATGGGAATGTAAATTGGGCACGGACATTTTGGAGGGCATTTGGCATCGTCTCCTAAGGTTTTAGATGTTTATACCCTTTGACCCGCTAACTTTACTTCCAGGGATTTTCCATCAGATACAGGGGTACAACTGCACAAAGATACAGTATATTTCTTGTGACTTTTTAAATAGCAACAATTGAGAAGCAAGCCACATAGGGGACCCAGCTGGGTTCATTCAAATGATGGGGATTATAAAAGGGGGTAAATTATGTTTGTAGATGCAGGAAGATCTTCAAGAGATATTAAGTGAAATAAGTTGCTGGATCAGTGCGATCCCATTTGAAAGTAGGCTTATAAAAATAAAAAGTGCATGTGTGTATGTGTATAAATAAATTTTGGATGAGTGGGAACTCGGCTCTTACCAGTACTTTTCTCTAGTGGGTGCTTACCGTGTTGGCAGGAATGGGAGGTTGTTTTTGTAGCGTTTGGCTTTCTTTTTGAAAAGTTAATTCTATATATTTAAAACATTCCAGTGAGCACTCATTACTTTTTAAGACTAAAAGACAAAAAGTAAAGACCCAGGGTAGAACTTTCTTGGGCAGACATTGCTGCTCAGTGGTGAGGAGTTCGGGTTAGGAATTACGGACTTGTATTTGAATGCTGGCTTTGGAGACCTCTTATGTGATCTTGAGCAAGTCATTTCTGTGTGTGTTTTCTCACTTGTGTTCTCATTTGTGTTCATGGAATGATGGGAGACTAGGGCCATTACCTCATAAATTGAGGATTAAATATGAATCAGCTGTTTTCCAATTTAGGGGTCTTCAGACCTCTTCAGACTCTTAAAAACGGCTTCCAAAGAGCTTTTCCCCTAGAAGTTGCATCTATTAATATTTACTGTATTAGAAATCAAACCTGAGCCATTTAAAAAGTTATTTATTAATTTGTTTAAAGAGAACAATGATCAGCCCATTGTATGTTAGCCTATAAATAGCATGTTAGTGAAAAATGAGTATTTTCAAAAAAAGGGAGTGAGAAGTGTGGTATTATTTTACTTTCTGTGTACACAAGTCTTGCTGTCGTGAAATAACTGCATCAGCTTATGTGCCTCTGCATTCAGCCTTTTGTGTTCTCACACATCATGGAGCCTCTGGAAAACTCCACAGTCCACTCATGAGAGAATGGTGAAAGAGGCAAAAATGTCTTAGAGTTAAAATAAGAATAGCCAATCCTTGGAAAAAGGTTTTGGGGATCCCGGGGTCTCCAGAATACACTCAGAGAACCTCTGATATCAAATATTCAACATAGAACCT